AGTTAACCAATAATAGTCTAAAGGCAGTTTACTTTTTAATTCACCTTATACCCACATAATAGTGAAATAGGAGTCAAGTTTAAGACACACTGAAATTGCATTTTTCCTCATAATTCTACTATTGAAGCACATTTACATCCTTTAAACTCAAAATGTTTAACTGCGATTTCACACTATTGTACATCTCATGGTTTTAGCTTGGGTAACAACTCTGTGGTTTTGTACATATATTTACACTTCGACGTTTCATTCATGCTTTTGATTCAGTTTGTTTTGGGTCATTGCTCGATAACCTTTCACATTCAGAAGTCTGACAGACTCAAAGCAGAGTTACATGAAAGCGCTGTACAAAATGCTCGTTAGTGCCTTTTTTGGAAGAGGTATTTTAATTAATTGCTTGTGCACTTTGCTTTAAAGAAAAAAGGAAGAATCCAAGGCGTGGTTGTATAATAACACACGGGATAATATTCATTTACTTATATTTTGTCAGCACACATACATTGTATTGTAGAGATTTTATGGAATAGTTTTAATATTAATACAGCAGTTCTTGGATAACGTGCGCCTTTATCTTTGTATTATCCATTTTAATTTATTCTTCAGTGCAAACCTTGTGTTTTTTGTCTAGGTAATCTGGATTGCTTTAAGTCGCTCTACATTGCCTTGCAAAAGTTTTCATAGCCTCACATTTTATCACTCAACAGTCACAAACTGTAGTATATTTTATTGGACGTGTATGTTATATACCAACATAATGATACACGGCTTTCAACATGTCTACAACTAAAAATCTGGAAAGTGTTACATGAATTTATGTTATAAATATTTGTCCTACAAAGAGTGAATCTTTGTAGGACATCCATCTTCCCATCTACTCTGACCAGTTTCCTGGCATCAGCTCCAGGAAAACACCCCCCGCATTATGATGCTGCCACCACCATTCACTACACAGGGAGTGGTGTTCTCAAGGTGGTATGAAGTTTCAGTTTACCACCATAAACATAGCTTTGCATAAAGTCCCAAAAAGATTGGTTTAGGTCTCATCTGAGACAAACACATTATTCCACGTATTGCCTGTGTTCTCTATTACGTTGGGAGAAACACCAAACAGCTTCCTTATCTGAGATCCCTCATAGTCTAGTGGTCAGGCTGTATGGCATCCTTATCTATGGCATTTAGTTAGTTGACTCGTAAAGGCAAATACACGCTGATTTTTTAGAGGTAGTTCGTAAAGAGGGCTGGATACATTCACAAGTCCCACTTCTCACGCTTGCAATTTAAAAAAACAAAAAAAAAAACATTGCAACCATTTATCTCTTTGTTCCACTATATAATTATGCATTCCTTTGTGTTGCTATGTCACCTAAAATGTGAGTTCGTGTTTTGCAAGGCAATGTAGAGAAAAGTAAAGCTTCCATCTTTTTCAGCTATCTTTGATCTCCATTAAACAAATACATGCTTTCCTCAGCCTTTCTCTCCTCTTCCTTGTTACAGAATATACATAAAATATAAAGAATAACATATCATTTCACATCTAAAAATAAAGAGCTGTATTTTTTTGTAAAATAATTTGCTTAGAATATCATAAGAGAATAAATATATTGTCTTTATCTACAGAAAGTGCACATAAATAAGTATTACTGGAGATTATTGTTTATTCCAATAATCTGTCTGCTTATCTTAAGGTGCCAATAGGCTAAATTGGGGGAACATAGCTTAAATAAAGATAATTAATAAATTCAGAATATAAATGAACTAATAATAAAACAACAGATGGACATTTAGGTCAAATTGTATTATCTAGGTTTTAAATGTATCAGGACATCCTGAAACAAATGCAACAGAAGCAGAGAGGCCTCTTATCTCTGTGCAGCTGGTGTTTCTTTTTTCAACTAAAAAACTTTTTTCTTTTGTATCTTACAGGAAGAAAGAAGAGAACACCAAAAATGGGAAAACCAAGACAGCACGCTTAGAAAATGTATTTGATGGATCAAAAACTGAGTTTTGGCCAACTGAGGTCAAAACTAAGACTAAATTATTGCTCAAAATATCCTAAAGCGCATAAAAAAAAGAAATCTTTCAAAACAACAGGGGACATGACTCCATCTAAAGTGCCTTTCAGATGCATTCATAATCTTGTCTGGGTTCAAATGAAAGTAAAATAAAATACATGACAAGACATTGTGCAGAACATCCTCCAACCTTCATAGTCACTATTAAAAAGGCAACAAGACGGAAAAGATGAGATTTAAAAAATAAGCTGAATTGGTAGCACTGAGGTGGCTTTTTAACCTTGGCACCTTTCAGTTTCAACATCTAAAAACATTTTAAAATTAAATGACAACAATAAAGAAGAAAAGGACAGAGATCATGGCAGAATGAGTGATCTGGCTTTGAGTTGTTTTGACTGAGAACAAAGAGCAAAGTTTGTTTTAGTAGCGTATTTCTACAAAAGGAAGTTGGATTTAGAGTTATTATTGTGATTTGTTGATTGAGTTCCCATATTTGGGAAGAATGTTCTCAGTGCGGTCACATAGTGAATGAAAGCCTTGTACACTTCAAGCAGATCAATTTCAAGGTCAACCAGAGGTCATCCAGTTATTTTTCTGAGGCTTGAATGTGTTTTTGGTTAAGTTGTGTTTATGTTAGAGATCTCACGCTGTTGATGTCGATAACAAATCTTCCTCACACCAGCGTTTGTTAGGGAGATCCACAGGGCTCTGATCTTTCAACATTACTTTTTACTTATATTTTCTAATATTTATATAAAATCTTTTTCACTAATTGGACGAAACTCTGCAAAAATGAGCATTTAACCAAGAAAAACACAATTTAGCTAGACTACATGACTAAGTAAAATCTGAATGATTCAAAATTTTCTGCTTTAAACGTTTGAACTGAGCATTCTTGAAACTCACTTTCTGATTGATAAATTTTTCATCTGGTACCAGTGTGCAGGAACCAGAGATATTTTCTTTAATTGACATAAAACATGTTACATGAGACTTCTTATGTCACCTGCCAACATTTACAGCATCGCATCCCAGATTGATGCAGGAAAAGAATGTTTATTTATTTTTTGTTTATTCAGGATCATGAATGTCCTCAAAGGGCCTGTTGTGGTAGAATGTATTATTAATGGGACCTATTAAAAAACTGTTAAGGTATTATAGATTCTCCTGCATTCGATTAAAGATGAAATCATAGTTAACATCTTTTGACATTGATGTAATTTGGCTCTGCGCAAGTAAAAACTGATTTGATTGGACTGATAGAATAATATTTAAGCACATAGCTATTATCTCAAAATTCTACTTCTGTGGCCCTCTGAGGTCCAGAAAGAAACAGAAATAACTACTGCATGGCGGGTCAGATTTGACTCTTGAATGTAACACACATGATCAAAGTAGTTCTCTAAAAAGCAACACTTTCTTCCAAAATGCCAGAGGCAAGCTATTCTAAAGAAATGACAAATTTATAAAATATTCAATATGAAAAATTCAGATTAAATAAGTAAATAATCATAAAAAAAATCTTTACATACCTCTATGACAGAGCTTCACTATATTGAAAAGACTCCTAGTTTTGTGTCTTTCCAACACTGGCTTTGTCTCGTTTCTTGTTTCACAGATTGCGTCTGTGAAACAAGAAACAAGAATCCTCAGTTATAAAATTCCTCTGTTTCATAATCGTGGATTCAAAGCCAGACACCTTGTCTACTTTTAAAGGGGGCAGTATGATGTAAAATTGACATTTTTGAGCTTTGCATCATCTTCTAATGTTATCCCTCATGAAAAACATACTTGGAGTGTTGCTTTGTTTCTTTCATGGATGTTTGAGAAATCCTTTAATCTCCAATGGCAACCATTTGCCTGGGTGGACCTGGCTCCACCTCTGAGCTGCAGCTTTCAAACTCACACGTTTTCACATAACAGAGCACTTTTCCTCCACAAATCCCCCACTCAGCTCCTTCAGACTAGCCAGCAACAATTAGCAAACAGCTGGTGGAACTGAGCGTCTGTTGAACTGGAGCTACTTCTCAGTGCAACGCTGGTAAAAACATTGCTAAATGGTTAATAGAGAAACAATGCATTGACATCCTAAAGGGGGAGTGGCAGAAAGAGCAGGAGTTTTTAGACAGAGGCATGACTGTTGTCATGAAGTGTCATTTGGTAAATATTGACACTTTTAACCTGTTTTAAAAGTTGCATTAAAGTCCATTAAAAGGGTCAACTTTGCAAGATTTTGTAAATAATGACACATTAATGCAAAGTTAGCACTTTCAATGGACTTTCAATGCAACTTTTAGAGCAACTTTGCATTAAAAATGTCATTATTTACCAAATGACACTTCATGACAACATTCATAGACATTTATAAAGACTCCTTCATCTTTATGGCAGATGTTATTTCATGCTTATGCACACACCGTCAAAAGACGTGTTACCCAAATTTCTTTTCAGTTGTTTCTGATATACATCATTTTTATAGCAACTGAAGTTATCATAGATGCTTGATTTTTTTGTAAAATGTGCCTGGAAAATACAGAGCACTGCCCCTTTAAAAGCCATACTGAAAGTTTCCCTTTGTAAAACACTAATGGAATATGGGGATAATTTAGGTAATACTGACGCATATCTCTTCACTCTCTTACCTATCTTTATTGTCTCTTGAAGCTACAAACCAGAAAGATAAATTGATCAATCAACCGTCAATCGCTCAGTCAATCAATCTCTAGATATAATTTCTTAACTAATAATGTTTTATGGCCAGTTTTTGGGGGATTTTTGGCTCTTGTGTTGTGGATTCTGGTGACATCAAAAAAGGCACAAGGCAACTGACCCCAGTCTGTTTGCACTTTCCTCATTTTTTCTATTTTACTGAATGTTTCCCACCAAAATGAAGAGCTCATTTGGCTCTTCTGCCATAATGTTAATGTCAGTCTTGTACTTCTTGTGATGTCATCAAAACAAAGCAAAATTACCACTTTTTTTTCCCCCCCAAAGGGTGCTTCATAAAACATTGCATTTTGTAAAATCCTGCGGTGGAAATCTATAATTCAGCACATTTTGTGTTTTTTTTTATAGTCAATTTATATGAATTAGTGAAAATAATACCCTACTGTGTAGCGTCTTTAACTGTATGAATGTAAACTATCATTCTGTCATTCAAACATTTTATGTTTGTCTCACCATCATCCTCTCAGATGTATCAGGAAAATTACATTATTGAGCTGAACTGTGCTGGACGGATACGATAATAGAATATTATGTTTTGCTGTGAAAATATCAGCATTGTGATGCTTTGTGTATATCAGTTAAATTTAGAGTATGGGATAAAGACTTGAATCTCTATTATATCTACAAACCTGGAACAGACAGAAGTACACATGTATACAGCTCAGCTGACTTTCTCTGTATGTATGTGGCTGATGATGCAGGTTTTTCTTTTTCTTCTTCTGTAAGCTCTGAAGAGGCTGCTTTGGTTTGGTCAACCTGTGGCCTCCGGTGGCCCAGAACTACAGCAAGGTGACACAGCTGAATGTCTTCACTCATCAATGAACGTGATCCCTTCAATCCTGCAGGACGAAGCACACAAACACAGAGTCAAAGCAGCTCGCAGGACAAGCCAGCTGACTACAATGAAACCGAGAACAAACAGCAAATCATCAAAAAAGCAGAAGATGACAGTGTGCAGCAAGATTGTTTCCTCCAGGTAGGGACGAGGGATGAAGGAGGGTACGGCCTTGCCTTTTTAGCAGCCAAAGGACGAATGTCCTTTTGATTGGAGTTGAGGGATTTCCACACAGTGGTTTTAGACATTTCATCAGATATGTTAATCTCAGAGGGATCACACCTGAGGGACAGGAGGAGGAAAAAGGGTAAAATTGAGGAAAGGCATTAGAGGAATATACAGGATTCACTGGGGGAACATGAAGACAGAGCCCCACACACCAGATAATAAAAAACACAGGCATGCAAAGAGATGGATGGGAAAGTGACAAATCTCTATAATAATCCTATTAATCAAGGTAAGGTAGGTAAGGTAATTTTATTTATATAGCACATTTTCAGCAGCAAGGCAATTCAAAGTGCTTCAAGACCATCAATCAAGACCATATTCATCGTGTGTGTGTGTGTGTGTGTGTGTGTGTGTGTGTGTGTGTGTGTGTCTCACTTGGGATCATGTGCTTTTTGAACAAGTCTGCTTCCCTCCATCGTAATCTGAACAGTAGCTGATTCATCTCTTTTCAAGCTCAGCATTTCTTGCGATTCCTGCATGATACAAACACAGGCGCGGCCATAAATAAGAGGAATTAACAAAACATTTGAAGATTTCCCCGCTCACTCAGATTACCTCTTCCAATTTTTTGGAAGCATCATCCAGGTTTTTCTTCTTCCACTCAGGCATCAAGTCATCGAGGTAGCTCAGCTCTCGTTTTGAGAAGCACAAGTCCAGCAGCTTCCGGATGAAAACCAGAGCCAGGACCTGCAGGACCAGGAGTAAAACAAGATCCTGACTAGAGAGAAACTGGAAGAACAAATGAAGTGGTTTTGTTCAGTGACAATAATTACCATCATGGGGAAGATGATCGCAGCAGGGGAGGTCTTAATGACCCAGAGTAGCACCAGACAGGTGAGCTGAGTCACAGTGAACAGATGCACCTTCCTCAAAGGGACGTGTCTCAGGTAGATGAAGTCTGGCTGGTGCTTCGCTGGCATACCAAAAAGCTTTAGGCGGTCAAAGAACTGAGACGAAAACAGTCAGAACAGAAGATTAGAAGTAAATAAAAAATCAGCAAGTGCAGAGGAAGACCACTACAGAACGATTAACACTGGTGAATTGCAGACTACATGAGAGATTGGAGATTGCATGCTGATCATTTCCTTTTTAAAACAAAGAAAACACACAAATCGTAAATTGAAAATTCAGTCATGAAAGACATCCAAAAACTGACATCCATCCAAGCGCCATGGATACACAGCAGCGACTTTTAAAATCTAGTGTAACTAACTGCCTTCAGAGGTCGGCTAATCAGAAAACAGAGTCCACTGGTGTGGAATGAGTGATGAAATCCAAGTTGGTTTTTATTTACAGAGTTGCAGTTGAAATATATCAGAACCAAACTTGATAACCAACATGCCAAACTGTTTGCAAAGTGGTATAACATTGCCACAGCACATTACCCTCAACAAACCATCAATTGTTATGAATGCAATTGATGACCTGTGTGAATACATTGAAACTGAAACGACAAAATAAGAAAGAGCTGATATGTAATAAAAAATTCAGCACAAAATCCAGAAAGCTTTGGTTTTGGAATGAAGGGATGTTTCTAACGATGGAAAATACACAACGAAAGAAAGACGGGCAGAGGAACATTTACGGGAATAATCAAGACAAACAGAGCCAGCCTTCGCTCCACCAGTCACTGTCAGAGTCCTGCTAAAATCCCAGTGCAAGCAGTGTGCTACTTGCATAAATTAAAAAGAAATTCACAAGTGCCTCAGGCTTGGCATGAGGTTTATCACAGTGTCTGTGACAGCTCAGAGTGAGAAACAGACTGCATAATGTTAGTGGACGACATCCAAGGGAAGCAAAACCTTCCTCAATCTGAAAATAATCATCTGACATTAAGAGAAGAAGCAGAGACTGCTTAAGCACAGACCGTAGATATTCATAATGGAAACATTAATATTATTCAAAACCGGTTTGGATGTGTTTATTGTATTATTTGTAAATCTGTTTGTACCCAAATATCATTAATCTAACCCAGATTTTACTCTTTAAGTGGCTTTGAATCGGATGTTCAAGAGAACTCCCAACCTAAATTTTACTGAAAATGTGCAAACTATGCAAAGAACTAAAACCAAAACCATTCAAACTTTAACAAAAACTATTGTAATGCATCATTAAAAGCCCTTAGCTGAAATGCAGATAATGATTGTGCATAATTTTGTTCACTTGCCGTTGCTCTTGAGAAAGCAGCAAAATAATCTGGAGTCATTGTCTTTTTATTGAAAAGGCGCAGTAGAAAAGTCAAATTAGTTGAACTGGGCAGATAAACAGATGGACACATTTTTAGATATGACATTTTTATTGGAAAGTTGAGATGAAAACCTTCGTGTTACTTTTTGTAAGTAAGTCATTAAACAAATTTTTGAAAATTATTTAATGTTGCAATTTTACTACTTTGAAGAGCAAAAAAAAAAAGCTCTCATAGATGTGTGGTTCATAAAGAAATATAGTTTTACCTGAATGCCTTTTAATGAAGATGCTCCCATGTAAAGAAAAACTCCGTACAATACAGGCATAGGAATAAACTGAAATAGGAAAAACGTCAGAGTTACACTTCATTAGACATACATTGTTGATATAATAAATAACTTTGGCACATAACAGTCAAGTCAAGTGTTGCCACTTTTCCATCCCTTCATTTCTTTACTCATCAGACCTGCATTGTGATTGTGACCCACCTGCAGGGCTCCAGTCATGAACACGGAGCATCCCATGAGCAGGAAGATCACCAGGCCCGTGAGTCGCTGCTCTCTGATGCCCAGGAAGCGCGGCTGCTCTCCCGGAGCTGCGCTCTCCGACTCCAGTTTCAGGCTGTTGACATGAGAGATGGACAGCACAGTGGCTGCCACGAACCAAGGCAGTCCCATGATGGAGCACACAACCAGCATCACCCCCACCATCAGCAGGTCTAGATGGTACCCACAGCCTTTCTGTAAAACAGAGATCGGGTCAGTTACGGGTTCAGAATCCAAGCCTGAAGCAGTATTTTTATTATTTTTTTATTTTCCTCTTGCCAGTAGTTTGTGCTCCTTGCGGTTGATGATGACAGCAGTTATCTGTTGGTCCATGAAGATGAGGATGGTGCAGAGAAGAGCGGGAATAGATGCAACCAGGGCTGTCCACCAAGGGTTGCGCCCGATTGGATTGATCAACCAACCTCTATCATCTCTGGTAGGCTGCAGGAAAAGAGCAGGGGTGCGCATGTTGACATTTGTATCGCTATTTCCCTGCAACAAGTTGTCCTAATTTAGCTCACAAATAAGTGCTGAAAACTGGGAAAAGTGTTGAAAGCAAGGTGAATTTTGTTTACTTCCAACTTTTCTTTACTTTAACAGCTTTTCATCTGCACTTACATATTGTTTAGACATATATTTCTTGGACATTTCTATGGAATTACCTGGAATTTGCTTGGCACCTTCAGCTTTTGGGATGGCACTCCAACGGCAAAGTCGAGCAGGACCATGACGACAATTGTAAGAAACACTGCAAAGTCACTGATCATGGACCGCACCTAGGAGAGACAGATTGCTGCATTTAGATGTCTGTTGCTATTGACTCAATTAAAGTTGAACGTAAACAATCTCAAACAATTTTATCTTCTTAAATTACTCATATCCCTTGAATCTCCACACATTTTGTCAACCACAAACAAAATGCAGGAATTCATGTGACAGACTAAAAAAACAAAAAAAAAACAAAATATGAAACGAAAGCGCAACTATTCAAAATTTTCAACATTTTGTACAAATCACAAAAACATTACATGTGTTTGTATTTGGCCCTCTTTTCTCTGATGCTCCAAAAATAAAAAACAGTACAACCAACCGCTCGATTTTCTCCTCTGGTGTTGATTTGCTACAATCACACCTATAAATCTGTTGAGGTATGTCTCTGCCGGATTCGAACATCTAGGGAACAATATTTCCATTCCACTTTGAAAAATGGCAATAAATAGTCATTTTCAAGTCCGGGACTTGGGCTAGACTTTGACTAGGCCATTCTAACTCAGGGGTATTCTTTGCTCGAAAAGCTTTCATTGCATCTCTGGCTGTATGTTTAGAGTCGTTGGACTGCTGAAAGGTAAACCTCCAGCCTAATCTCAGATATTTCTTCCATTTATTTACTCTGTTTGCTTCCATTCATCTTCCAATCAACTTTGACGGGTCCCTGCTAAGAATATATATATATATATATAAAAAAACATGATCCTGCCAACCATCATACATCAACAAGGTGGTGAGGTACCTTGGTGGGGAAATAACGACTTGTCTTAAACTGCTTGAGGAAGGCCGACATGAAGAACGTTGAAAAAAACAAGATGATGGACCAGAAGAGAACATCTGGGGTGAAGGGACCGTGGTGTCCACATGCTGTCCCAACAAAGTGTCCTTGAAGGCTCATACACTCCTGTGGGGACGCAGACAGATTTCAGCCCAGACTCAAGAAAAAACAACATGGAGACCCCTTTATTTGAGCTGATTGGGTAAAAGTATAATAATAATAATAATAATAATAAAAAACAAAGTAATTACATGTTCCTGAAAATAACAAACACCTTTGTGTTGTCAAGATGAAATGCTAGAAATGTCAGCCTTACAGATGTCCTTCAGAGAGATTAACTGGTAAAGGGAAGGTGAGATTTTGTTGAATGTTAACCAAAAAGAAAAAAAAACATTCTGAAGCAAAGAAATATAAACAACAGAAGGATGCAGCCTCAGGCAGAAAAGGCCTTGTAGGTGAGCTACATATTGACTGAAAAGTTAATGACATGCCTTGGTAACAATGTGACAATCTTTTTCTAGGTATTTTTTAGAGGACGCACTAAGTCACTTAACTTCCCTCATTTTCTCTTCTTTGGCCACAGATTGCTGTGTGTCATAAAAGCTAATATTTGTAATTGGTTTTTGTTCTTTAAAACCCAAAGCAACGGATGGAGCTCAATAGCATTGAACTGGCGTAGCTTATTTCTCTCTTTGAAACACCAAACAAAATAAAGTTAGAATGTTATTTGGTCATTTCTTAGCAAACAGCGTGTAGCTTCAAGTGATAATGAACAAAAACAAACAGGTTTTCCTGTCAACGACGCTCGATGAATGCGAAATTATTTGAAGGTAAAGTATCTGATAAAAAAAAAAAACTGTAAACTTGCAAAACTAACATACTTTCCTCTTTAAATATGAATTATTTATTAAAAACACAAACATAAATAAAATAGTGGCAGGATTATGTGTGTTTTTTTTTTTTTTTTGGACAATCAAAAATATGGCAGAAATAAATCACAGCATGCAGGGATGATGAATGAATGGAAAGCATATAGATGTAACGAAATGACCTTGACAGTCAGGTTTTCCCAGGATACAGCCCAGGCCGTGATGTTTCTCTCGCTCCACAGCTCTAAGGTTTTATTACTGGGATTATCAGGCTGTGAACACCTGCAGCTACACAGAGAGATGGACACAAAACAGGAAATTAACATTTGCTGACTGACTAAATGAATATGTTTGGGTTCTGTTTACTTTTTTCTTTTTGTTCTTACAAGGGTTTGGAAAAAAGATGCAAATAAGTTACAAACACACAGAGGGAAAAAAAAAAACAAGAAGCCGTTTACTCACTATGCTAGCGTGAGTTTGTCCAGCTCGCTGTTTGCATTGAAGGGGTACAGCTCCCCCAAGTGAAACAGTTTCTCCAAGGCCTCGTAGATGAAGATGAGGCAGATGAGGGCGGCGAATGCCTCCTCAGTGAACCGAGTGATGTAGCAAACCAGAGAGCTAGCGTCTGTGGCCACTAACATGAAACACAGCAGTGCCGTCCACAGGCCAATGCAAGCCCGGAGAGACAAATATGACAGATCGTAGTCCCTGAGAAAGAAAAGAGAGGCGGGGGTCAGAGGAGGCCGACGAAGGCCTGACTAGCCAGCAAAGGAGCCGTTTAATTTCTCAACGTACTTGCAGAATTTGAAGAGTATCTTCTCAAAAACCAGTACTGGACCTGTGCTGCCCAGAATGGTGAGAGGCTGCCCAGCGAACAGAGAGTAGGCCACTCCAGTCATCGAAGCACCAAACAACGACTCTATGGCGCTCTGGAACGGGTGGTGGTATTGCATTGTGTTTGATTCGTCTTCACTCACACATGATGAGAACAAACAGCACCGCAGAGTGGCGTAAATACGGTTTTGCTCTTACAATACGTCCTTCAGTCGCTTCCCCCAGCAGTCCTCCAAAAGTGATGACAGGAGACATGCAGGCGCAGTAGAGGAAGAGGAAGGAGGCCACACACTGGAGGCTCAGGCCGTCCTTGAAGTCACTCACATAGAAAGGAGCTTTCCTCTTGATGTCCAGTATGAGGCCGCCGAACAACCTGATGACAGGTTGTTCATTTTAGAGAGAAAACAAGCGCTGCTATATTTATATGTATGACGATGGCAAACATGTTGCCACTTTTTAAAAACAAACCAAATAACACCAGGTAAATAATCACCAGTCTTTTTCAGAAAGTACAGAAGTGGGCACCATATGGCTCGGTGGCAGAGCAGAAGATGCATATTTGTAGGCTGTGGTCCTTGACACAGCTGCTCTGGGTTCATTTCCTGACCCCAGGCCATTTACTGCGTCTCTTCCCCGCCTCTCTGCCTCTCTCCATGTCAGGCTACTGATGAATAAAGGTCACTAGTGCCACAAAATCTTTAAAAAAAAAACATTTTTTTGAGGAGCTAATAGGTGACATACACGGCCTTGCGAATGTTTTGCAGATTGTGGCCACAAACTTAAATGTATTTCACTGGGTTTCTGTGTGATTGATCTATATTAAGTGGTGCATAATTATCAAGCAGAAAGAAAAATACAAAACCTTTTACAAAGTATCTGAGAAGTGCTTTAATCCTCTTTGGGCCCTTAATATTGTCCCATCTCATTTCTTCAGAAATTCAGTTTTTGCCCATAGCAGCAACTAAGAAGCAGAATGCTAAAAGGTTTGCACATTCAGTCAGAATCATCCATATTGATCATAATTAAGCAACACGTCTGTAACAAACCTGACTGGTCAGCTGCTTACCTTCCTGTCCTCTGCAGCTCCGGCCCGTGGTGTTCAGCATGTTGTGGTTCTTCTACCTGCAGGGTTGTGCCGTTGGGGACTCCAGGCATTTTTCTCTTCTCCTGCAGGTCAGAAGCAAGCAAAAAAAAAAAACAAAACAAAAAAAAACAAGTCTCACATGTTACATAAACAACTCTGAATGCCTCTAGTGAGGTTAAAATCCAGGGCTGAAAAGTAAGATGCATTACCTGAGAGGGGACGTTCTTTGGGGGCTCTATTCGGATGGAAGGGTCCCACTCTCCTGGTGGCAGGACAGTCACCTGGTCCAGAAACTCGTCTATCCCTGCCAGCAGGTCGCTTCTGTCCTTCGCCTTGTACGCTACGTTGTGGAAGATCTGATCCAATAAGAAATTTAAAAATAATTAAAGAAAAACGTTGCAAGAAAGATGTTCAGTTTTTCTGTCATCGGTGGTTCAGAAGCTGCAATATTTTTGCAAAGGTATTCACACCTCTTTAACTTTTTCATTTTCTTTTGTAATGTGCCAACACGAAGTAGTGCATTACAGGGATGTGGGAGAAAAATAACAACAACAACAATAATAATAATAATAATAATAATAATAATAATAATAATAATAATAATAATAATAATAAAAACTGGCATGCATTTATTTTTACTCAGGTAAAGAAAAGAAAAAAAAAACACACAAACTGTGATTATTGCAAAAAAAAAAAAATGCTAAAAAGTTCAATAGAGTGAATGGTTCTGAAAAATCTTAAAGGTCTCTCACCTCATCCGTCATAATAGTCGCCATCGAACGTCCAATTTCGTGGTACTGCTGAGCTTTTCCATCAGGGCCCAGAAGGATAAAGAGGAATCTGATTTGGACCAGCAGATAAACCATACTTCATAAACTCTCCTTTGAAAGCTGAATTAACATGACCTGCCAGCAAGGCCTGATGGAGCTGTGGCTGTCTACCTGGTGGGGATGGGAACCTCAGTGAGTCCAGTGAGCAGAACAGCAGGGGAAAGGCGTACAAACGCAACAACGGGCCTCTCCAGGAAGTCCAGGACACCGACCAGCACATTTGAGGCCTCGGCGCCTTCTGGGATCTTCTTCATGAAGTGCAGGTCAACCTGTTGCAGCAAAAAGAGAAAACTACCAGACTGAAGCACAGATTTAAAACATCCACCTCCTGCACTAGAGGTAAAAATAATTTGTAGCTCATCTCAATACTGTAACCTGTATTGAGATGAGCATGTGAATATTCATAAATAACAAATGATATATTTTCCATTATTCATCCATATTAATGAAATGAATGAGAAATCCTCAGCCGGTTTGTTTACCTTACTGAGGTCCACTTGACTGCTGTCCGGTCCAGCGCCGTTCTTGGCCGGTTCCATCGGCAGAGGAGGCTGGGGAGACGTGGCGGAGCCTAATGGATGGTAAAGTGTGGGTGTGTGCATGTATGTGATTCACAGAAAACGCAGCTGAATCAGAGAAAATATCATTCCAAGAACAAAGTGTGAAAAATAAATCTCCAAAAGTTAGATTCCTCTTGCCAGTTTCTTAATTCTCGGAAGCAATGAAGTACTGGAGGATTACTGCTTGAAGAGGATTCTGTGGTGCCTTTCAAAAAGTATTCATTCTTTTTAGACTAACACAAAGCAATCAACAACCACAACAATGAAGGGAAATTATCATTTTCAATATGTTACAAATAAAAGGTGAAAAGTGTTGCATTCGTTTGCATTTGGCCCCTTTTAATCCGATAGGTGAAATCTAGTGCATCCAGTTGGCTTCAGAAGTGACCTTAGTGGTGATTAAAGTCCACCAATGTGTAAGGGAGCCATGAAAACCATCCAAAGGTTTCCACAAACTGGGAAAAGCACTGCACACCTCCCTGTACTCACTTCCATCAGCATCATGCTGTGGGAATGCTTTTCATCAGTGGGGATGAAGAAACTGGCAGGATTTAATGGGATGGAGCTGAAACACAAGGCAATCCTGGACGAAAATTTTTTAGAGAATGAAATGTAACAGCCAAAGTCCAACCCTAAACCAAACTGAGAGTTGTGGCAAGACTTAAAAACTGCTGTCCATACATACTCCACACAGTGTGTGGTTGTAATGTGACGAAACGTGAAAACTTTTCAAGGGGTGTGAACACTTTTGCAAAGCAATGTAACTTGTGTGTCTGTTGCTTTAGTCCTGCAAAATTAAAACCGCTCCCCACCGATGAGTGTGTGATGAGTCGTACCTACTACCTGAGGCTCGGACTGTTTGCGGGCTCCCTCGGTGATGGAGCGTACCATTGGAATCAGGTTTTTCTTCTTCTCGTTTTGGTGATGGTGTCTCTTCAGCAGAGCCTCACGCACCCTAACTCTGACGGTGTCATCCAGCTCGTGCGACGCCTCCTGGTGATCCAGAACCATGTCTGCAACGCAATTTTAGACTCACACTGGGCTTGTGGGCAAAAGCAGCTGAGACTTAATAAAATAGTATTTATCTAGTTTGCTAACCACGACTGCTTTTGTCTCCGTGGAGAAGGTCTGACATCACATGTTAGAGCCTGAAATCTTCACAATTAGCCCTTTAATTGTTTTCAAATCAAAAAGATACTTTTAAAATGTCGATTTCTGACAGAAAATGAGCTTTTGGAGTTGCACCCCTAGGATCAAAGACACAGTTTCATATGGCTGACTATATAGAATCTGCTACCGCACTCAAATGCATCTGATCATGACTGTAAACAGAGAATAGACTTATAACAATAAGTCTTTTTTAAATAGCAGTTTGTCAAATGGATGTGTTGTCACATGGAAGAGGATGCACTGAGCATTTTTTCCAAAATGATCCACCATGCAGGAAATTCTAACAAACAACTTCCAATGTTGTTACTTAACTTTAAGTAACTGTGTCAGGTCAAAAGCACAGATGAACAGAGTTCGACAGATGATGCTCTTGGATTAACATTTTGACAGAGACATTGTCAGAACCTCATGTGGACTTTTTTTGTGCTTTTAAATCTCTGTGTGCAGTTCCGGTTGGTTAGTTCTCCAATTTACAGTCCCCACAACATTTCTCCTGTCCTTTTTCTCCTTTCTGGATACATCACCATAAGAAGACGGTTCCCAACGTAAGAAGACCACACTTCTTCCACTTTCATTGCATTTAGATATTTTTATATCTTTACACATTCCTTGTTTCCAGAAGTTAATATGAATTATAACTAATTATGAACTTTTAGCTCATAAACAACTGAAAAAATATTAAATTGAACAAGAAATGTTGTAATTTCACTAATCTTTTTCCAATTTCTGTGTTACACCAGTGTTCTCATACATCTGTCTGTCTGAGGTAAGAGCAGCCTATGTGCTGCTGAAGCTGAATCAATGCTGCTGACATATGAGACCATATGGACCTGAAGAACAACAGCTTCTGTCTGCGTCTTACTTGTCCTTTCAAGCTGACTTGTTTAGTCAGCACAAGACTGTGCATTAGTCTGCTTCCTTTCTTTACCCACAGCCACCAGGAGATTCTCTCACGCACATTTTGTCTGCAGTAAGTGAATTTATTCTGAGCGCACTTTAAGATCAGCGATAATGAGCTGACCTCAGTGAAACGTGTTAATAAGGACAACGACAACAGAGCAACACAATGAAGCCTGCATGCAGTAAAGCCCGGGAAGCTTTAAGGGCTGCAAGGTTATGTGTGTTAACGAATTAAAACTAAAGCTAACATGGCCTTATGTTATCAAGAAGTCTGTTGTTTTCTTGCTCCTTGTTTCTCCGTTTCAATGTGTAACTTCAAACATTATGATGAAAAGATAATAAAGTCAGCTCTTATTATCTGTTTAGAAATTAGATTAGAAAGCAAAGTCAAGATAAATGCATGAATATAAAAAAAGTTAATGTTTTACTTTTATCTGAGGCAAGACTATGGTGTAAAAATGCCTTTAACATTTTCATGAGTTGACTTGAAGATCTTCCACTTGAAAATGTTTGTCTTAACATGACAAACTTTAAGTCACTGCCTGTGTTGGAGTGAATAAAATCTAACATGAGAAACTTTAAGAAAAAACTTATTTAAGCAAGACAAAGCTGTGAAAAAAATGCTGTGTGTGTGTGCGCGCACATACTTGCAAGGTTTAGGTTGTTACACTTATACGAGCCTCTGTAGGGACCCATAACTGATATAGTATGCCTCCTTCCTTTGCCTTAAACTCAAGGCTTATGCCTTAAGCGTGAACATGATAGATTATACTCATTTGTTTCTGCAGTTCATTTCTGCTTGTACTCTGCAAGAGCCTTCTGCAGGCAGGGGGTGAGTACGGGTTGTGGGTTTGCAGACGCAGCAGAGAGAGAGATAAAGTTGCATCCCAATGCATTCTGTCACTTCTAGCAGTGCTAGCTGGTCATTATACAAATTAAGTTA